AGGAAGAAGGACAAGCAGCTGAAGATATACACCTACCACAAGCCCCGCCACAACCAGTTGAAATGGATTCGCAGCTACTTCTACAGATATTTGCCACCGCCACTTGAACTAGCAGGGATATACAAAATATCCAACAGAGGTTCAAGATGATGACCACCACTGTTGAAAAAGTGCAGAGAGACCTCTACTCCTCCCGAGACTACACAAAAGGCGCTATGAATGAAGCCACAGCTGCAAGAAGGGAAGTAGAGACTATGAATGGTAGGTTCAACATGTACGCTGGGAGAACGGATGGAATACAGTGGCGTGTGAATGAAACTTGGGATCGTTTGGGAAGTATGGAAAGTAGTCTTCAAGCAATTCAGGCCGAGCAAGCACAGCAGTCCGAGTTGCTGAGACAACTCCTATCTCGCCTCCCGTCTCCTCCTGAAGATGATGCTGCGGGTCCCAGCTTCACACCACAGCCACCAAATTGATCAGGGGAGTTTTATTAATCTCTTATTGCCAAGTTGTGCCCATGTTTTAAAATTCTGCCATTTTAACTTTACATTTTACATTAAGGACAACGTATTGTATAAGTTTGGAGGATGGTAGCATAATTTCAAACAAATATTCGGCGTGTAATTATTTTGCATATTCACAATCCATCGTTAATTTTGACAAGTTTTTGCATGATGCGTGCTTGATGAGTGAGTCTTGATGAACTTTTGCATGCTTGTGTAGGTTTGGTAGCTTTGCTGGCTATGATGTGATTATTGGACATGTATAAACTAGAAACTGTGGATTTAGTGCCGGATTTAATTTGCTAATACTTGTTGATGCATTGCTTGACATTCTTTTGCACGCCACTCATGCTTCACGTGTTAAGTTATCGATTGGAATTTTAGAATAAATTAGGAGAAACCTAGAATAACCCTCTATAATAATAACCCGTAATACCACTTTAAGATAGTTTGGAGATGGTTGAGCCATTGTAGGGAAACATGGAGATAAGTGGGGGCTCTGTGCATGAAATTATACTGTGTGGATTGTTTAAATCCGGAAGGTGAGAAATAGGTGAAAACTTTTAGTGAGGATGGTTTTGGAAGTCAAATGTCTAGAAAAACAAAGAAGGGGCATAAAGTAAAAATTGGAAAATCGTCACTTCTCTCAAAAGCCTTTATGACTCGAGCAAGTAAGTCTGTAAGGGTTTAAAACCTAATATCCTAATGCCAACTGGTTTGGGAGTCATCGGCCTAAAGCTCGTTACATGAGTCATATAGAAAGCAAGAAAAGGGAGAAATTGATAAAAAAGTCATCTTATCGAGCCTTTATAACTCGAGTAAATAAGACTGCAAGGGTTTAAAATCTGATGCCCTAAAGCCACTGGTTTGAGAGTCATCGCCTAAAACTCGTTACATGGGTTATATAGAAAGCAAGAGAGAAGATGACACAAAAAAAACCCTTTGTTGGACATTTGGTTGATAGAACTATAACCTTAATGCGAGGTAAGTAGTTTAGTTTAATCCTAAAGGTTGAAGCAATCAAAATAAGGAGAGTCTCTACTTGTTGATATGTGAACTTGTAATGGTAAAATCTATCCAAACTAAGAGATGGTAAGGATTAAAATTGTTTAAACTCCTAACCTTAGAATACACTCCGGAGTAATTGTGTGAAAAGAATACATTTGGGGGTTGTGTATCTTTCGAGTGATGTAAGGATAAATTTGACCACTATGGGTCGGGAATAAACTAATCATAAGCTTGATATGTTGGCATGAGTTCACACACACACGTTGAGTATTACATTTGATGAGTAAAGGTTGATTCAATTCTCGCACTTTTGATACTGTTTCTATTATTATTACTAAGTTCCAATCCTGAGACACGGCAAGCTATTAAGCCATATTTGTTTAGCATTAAGTTACTACATTATTTAGGACAACTAATAGTTTAAGTTTGGGGGATTTGATAAGTGTGTTTTTACACATTTATTTAGCTCAGAAACATGACTTAAATATGGACGAAGTAGTTGAATTGTGACTTAATCTCGTTAAATTCATGCAATGTAGGTGTTTCTATGGAAAAGATGGAATTCGGAAGAAAGAGCCGAAAAAGGACCAAAACGGAACAAAGCGATAGTTTGGGGACCAAAGGTGCAAATATTGAAAAGTTGAGCTAAAGTGCAAAATGAGAATGAAAATATATCGAGTATGAGATTGAGGACAATACAAGATGATCGGAGGAAGAAAGAAGTAATGTTGGACTGAATTGAAGAAAAGTGAAAGATGAAGGACTAAATTGCAAATGATCAAAAGATGAGCCGAGCAAGTGATCAAGGAGTTGATTGACCCAAACGTCAATTAGGAGTCAATATTTGATGATGGAACAAAGAAAAGAAAGAAAAGAGATCAAGAAAAGAGAAAACGAAGTTCAGGACCAAAACAGTAAGGTTGAAAGTTACAACCATGTGGCCGCACAAAACTGTGCCATGCGGCCGCACATAAGGTTGCATGGATTTCATTGAGGCAGTCCACTTGAACCATGCAGTCGCATGGTTTAACACCATGCGGCCGCATGGCTATAAAAATAAAAAATAAAAATTTGAACTTGCGTTTTTAATTGAAACTCTTTCGGGGCTCCGTGAGGACATGATATAAAAGTCAGAATTCATCAGAAATAGGGCAGAACGTCCAGGGAGAAGAAAATTACAACTTTTGGAGGCAAAAAACATAATCTTGAAGCCGATTCCACAAGAATTCAAGCGGATTTTCAAGGTTTTATTCAAGATTTCAAGAAATTTTCATACGGGTGCTATTCTTTCAATTTATTAATTTCGTTTTCTATTCTGTAATTATGAATATTCTAGGCTAGATTTTCAATTCACTAGGTGATCGATGAACCATTGTTTGTTATTTTAATTCCATATTTCATGCATTTAATATAAAGACTCTTTGGATAATTTGATTGGTTTATATGCATTGATTTTCTTCCGCAATTAGTGGCCAATGATTGTGTGAGTGTTGATGACTTATTTCTTACATTCAAGAGAAGGGGAATATGTTCGATAAGATGTAAATCAACATAGGGTCCGATAGGGGATAGAGATATACCCCTATGTTTTATGCAATTCTCTAATTGTTCACAAAATCACATGCATTCTTGTATATTTGCATCATCCATAGAGATATAGGCTGGTGGTGTGCAAGAATATGTCTAATATATATCGAGAGAATATGTTGGATAGGTTTAGGAACATTGAATTGGTAAATTTCCATTGGGTCATTGATTTTATGAAATTAGGGTTTTTATAGCTTCAATTGGGGATTCGTGATCCTAGTGACTTTAGTTTGATTCATTTCCATAAATTAGATTTTGAATTTGTATAATTTCATTTACTTGAGTGTTTGAGTCGTTTAATTAGAGAAATTTCGAGATTAGGGTTTCTAATTGAGAAATTAGGGTTTTTAATTGAAATTAGGGTTTTTTGCATTTGGACCATATTTTCACTCAATTAGATTCGATTAAGGCTAGATTATATAGAATTGAACTATTCAATCTCTGTGAAACGATATTCGGACTTTTAAAAATCTACTTTATTACTTGTTACGATTCGTACACTTGCGGTAGTTTTAAATCAAAAGAAATATTTCGTGAACAGGAGACAAGAAACCACATCTTGGAGAGGATTTTGAGCGGAATTAACGAAGGATTGCACGAAAATCAAGAAGATTTATCAAGAATTCATAACCCAGTGATGCTTCCTCTTCAATATATGATGTATTTCGATATTATTTCCATGTTAGGCTAGATTTACATGTACTAGGAGATCGATGTACCATGTGATGAGATATTTAAATTTCTTGTTTTACAATTTGACATCAAAACACATTTTGATTGTTTGAATGAGTTATATGCAATTATTGTTTTCCACAATTAAAGACCCGTAATTGTGTGAGTTTGGATGACTTGTTCTTGCATTCGAGAGAAATAGAATAGGTTCGACACTATATAAATCATCGTAGGGTCCAATAGGGGATAAAAATATACCGCTATACCCTACGTGAATATATAAGTGCTTACGAAACTGCATGCATTTTTATATATGCACTTGTCATAGAGATATATGTCGATGGTATGTAAAAATAAGTTCAATACATCTCGAGAGAGAGTATTGGATAGATTTAGCAGCATTGATTTGTCAACAACTCAATGGTGTTGTCATATTGTAAAATTAGGGTTTAAGGTGGTCGTTGCATGGGAAATTGTGATCCTAGTACGCTTAATTTACATTGAATACTACAAATTTGCATTCTCAACAGTTGTTTTGCATGCTAGGTTGTTAAAAATCGTGTTTTGCATATTAATCTCATTTCAATCGTAAATATTGCATAAATTAGGGTTTGCATTCCAATTTCGAGTATTCTTTCTAAAATTAGGATTTATTTAGGTAAACATTCACATTGAGTAATTTAGTTTCGGTTAAGGCTATGATAGGTAAAATTAAACTACTTAATCTCTATAGGAGGATATTCGGACTCTAAAAATTCACTTTATTACTTGTTAACGAATCGTGCACTTGCAGTGATTTTAATCGAAAGAAAATATTTCGTGAATGCATACCCAAATGCAATGCTCTGTGGAATACTATTGGCCATTAACTGCATTGGAAACTACCCACATGCTGCATAGATAATTACACATCATTTTGTCATCCTCAACTATGCGATAATAACCTCATTCAGCAAATCTGTACGTGATGCCTGATGGCAGAGAATATCATGTTCACATGTCTCGATATTCGCAATGGGTTTCTCGTCACATTGATCGAGAAGCTAATGCAGCATCAGGCATCTGCAATGTCGACTGGACCGTACAGGCATCTTCGATGAATCATTCCTTAGCTTGGTAAATCTACATATAACAACTGCCTTTGAAAAGTTTCTATTGACAAGCCAATGGCAAGAAGACCTCTGCCTATCCTTCCTATGCTCTTCCTTTTCCTGCTGTGTTGTGTTGCTTGTACAGGTCAGTTTCCTACTTGTTTTTCTGTAAATATAAAATATAAGTTCCAGTGATTGATGAAAAGTGATGCATGCTTTGAATAGGACCGCTGAGGTGGATTCTTCTTTCGAGCTATCTCCTCTATTATCTGTCGTTGTGGGTTTTGGCTGCAATGTTAGAGGTGGGATGAGGATGCTCAAGCATGGCCCAGTCTCGGTGCCAGCTCTTTGAATTCACTATTTCTTGCTTTCTCACTTTATGCCGAGAACTAATAACATTTTCTTATGTGCTATTTTCTATCGTTTTTACCTTAATTTTCGATGGCCTAAAATTTAAGGAGACCATGGCAATGTTGGAAAAAATCGATCAAAGACACAGCAGCGAAATGAAGAACAAAAACGAGTATAAAAGAGAGAAATCGCGAATTAAACGTAGTTCGATGAACCACCGACAATCATATGAGGAGGAGGAGAAGAACCAACTAACTCATCAAATCCATATATGCAATAAATGAATAAATATTAACATCTTGAATTTGTCTGATATTTTCTTGCAGTATATGTTTCATGAAAAAAGGAAATAGCAGCAATTATTATCCTAAAAAATGATGGGTTAACAAGGGTTTAGTATTTGTGAATATTATGAAATATGTGACTAGAAAGTGATTTGATTGTTTGTAAATAAATTGCCAAACAGTACAACGTCTGCAATTTCCTTCTCAGATTCACAAAGAACAGAAAACTAAAAATAAAAGAGGAATGCGGTGAGCGTGGATCGAACACGCGACCTTCAGATCTTCAGTCTGACGCTCTCCCAACTGAGCTATCCCCGCTTGATGTTCGGGAAACCTCAATCAATATATTAATATATTTTAATAGTTGGCAATTCCATTTATAATCTTCCTCCTCTAGTCGTCCAGTCTCGGCGGCTGGCAGTTGTAGAGGTAGATGGGGCGTGGCACGGTTGAATCCTTCAAAGAACAATTCTCTTTGGGTTCGTTCTGTCTCTTTAATAATTATCTTTTCCCAAGAAATGAGAATCGTTATTAATAATTAATCCATGTTTAATTCAATGATAATACAGAAAAAAGATTAAAAAAATCACGAGAAATCATTGCCACCGACGGATACCGGTAACCAACCTTTTTTCGGATGGGACAGTGTGCAATTACAAAATTGTTGATTTTAAATGTTTTTCCAAACTTTGAGCTTCAAGTCAAGGAAGCTTGGAGTGGTTAATCTTATGTATCTTTTTACACCTCTATTTGTTTAGTTCTTCATAAATTTGATTATTAAAATTACGGTAGGAATAAGAGAGAGTTTTCACAATATTCAAGCGTAGTCGAGCTTTCAATTCGATTTCTTCAAAACTATAAAAACGGCACTACGATAAATTAATAGATTTGGATAAAATTAGATCAATCTGATTAAGTTGCGCTCGGGTTGAAAATTAGAAATAGAAAAACCATATTTTGAATTTGGGCTAAATTAATTAGTTTAGCAAATTTATTTAGTAAAAATAAAATAATTTGGCTTCTTAAGATAAATAAATTAAAAAAAAATTAGGGCGATTAGATTATTATTCGGTTCTTGGTCTAGAATCAAACCAAACTAGTCGGTTCTCAATTTAAATACCTATTCGGTATTTGATTTAAGAAGAACCGTTTGGTTTGGTTTAGTTCGAATGGGATTCGGTTCGGTGTCAGTTCATCTAAAAAGGACCTGCTTGCGAGTCATTTTCTTTGCATGTATATCTGTTTTCTTATGAGACATTGCGTGGTAGGACATGTTTGTGGATGTGGAGCCTAATATTTGCACAATTTTCCCTTGGCCGTGGTGGGTATTAGTGCGATCCTCCGGGGAAATATATATCCGCTCTTTTTATATATGTCTGTGTACGGAGAAATATGCATGTAAACTCACCTTTCTTTGGAATACAATGACAGCATGTATTTGTTGGTGTCTTCTGTTCAATGGATCCCAATAACAACAAATATTAGAAACACAGAGTGACTATTGAAACAGCAACTGCTTTCCGGATGGTGTCCTTTATTGAATGATTTAGTTGCACTACGGTTTGTGAACAATGCTCTTCAGTGCATGAAAATTATCCTCGCATATCTTTCAACTACATACAGAACAAATCATTGTTCGAGAATTGTTCAGGACTCAGTTCAATTATTCTGTGTACTTGTGCCTTGTTCACGAAAGAGATTGGTTTACAGTTCTTTTGCTTGAGATATTCTTTTCTCAAGGGAGTAATTTAACTCTGAATCAGACATGCCCAACACTTGCATGCTAGCAAGATGCTCTAGATCATGAGGCATAGTTGTTCCTTTATCAGAGATATCAATTTGTTTCTGGAGGTCATTCCTCTATTCTTACTAAAGTGGGGACTTGTGGTGATTCTCTCTCTTTCGTGGCATTCGAACAGAATTGTATTTTGAAAATCGTCAACATTGATCTCTCTCCAACATTTTTTCACTTGCTATTTCTTCGTGTCATCTATTGTTATTGACCAATCAAGTAATCTGTAGATTGAACTTCAATCCCACAATTTGTTGATGAAGATCATTGTTTTCGTTTCTGTAAATTCACCTGTAATCAGAAATGTTTTATATCAAACATGTGAAAATATTGAGCATGTTCTAGTGTGTGTCTTCTGTTCAATGGATCCCAATAACAACAAATATTAGAAACACAGAGTGACTATTGAAACAGCAACTGCTTTCCGGATGGTGTCCTTTATTGAATGATTTAGTTGCACTACGGTTTGTGAACAATGCTCTTCAGTGCATGAAAATTATCCTCGCATATCTTTCAACTACATACAGAACAAATCATTGTTCGAGAATTGTTCAGGACTCAGTTCAATTATTCTGTGTACTTGTGCCTTGTTCACGAAAGAGATTGGTTTACAGTTCTTTTGCTTGAGATATTCTTTTCTCAAGGGAGTAATTTAACTCTGAATCAGACATGCCCAACACTTGCATGCTAGCAAGATGCTCTAGATCATGAGGCATAGTTGTTCCTTTATCAGAGATATCAATTTGTTTCTGGAGGTCATTCCTCTATTCTTACTAAAGTGGGGACTTGTGGTGATTCTCTCTCTTTCGTGGCATTCGAACAGAATTGTATTTTGAAAATCGTCAACATTGATCTCTCTCCAACATTTTTTCACTTGCTATTTCTTCGTGTCATCTATTGTTATTGACCAATCAAGTAATCTGTAGATTGAACTTCAATCCCACAATTTGTTGATGAAGATCATTGTTTTCGTTTCTGTAAATTCACCTGTAATCAGAAATGTTTTATATCAAACATGTGAAAATATTGAGCATGTTCTAGTGTTTGGAGCAAAAGGTATTGCAGGTCGATCAATTCACAAACATTTCTGTTGCTTGATAGATCCATTTATTGAGTAGGAGTAGAAGTCATATCTGTACAGGGTGGAGCTGAAGAACAAATGACTATTCTCCCATTTTGGAGTATTGATGTTCAACTCTGTTGCCCCTTTCAGTTTTGCAGGCGGTTTCTATGTCTGTCCAGCATAATTCTCACCTAAATCAATATCCCACAAACCGAGATTGAAGGGAGCAAAAATGTTTTCGTCACCATCGAAGTCCTCTTCTTGCCTCCGCGACCATCAAGCCATCGTGATAGAAAATATTCCACCTGTTGCTTCACCTCCATTTTTCGACACAATAGTTCCCATCTCTATCAATAATTCTAACTTCACTCGTAGAAGTAACTGGAATAAACTCATTATGTCGTGATTTTCGTGATTAAGGTTTCATAAAACTGTACTCTAGTGCTAAAATAATGTAGAAGATGATTAACACTCTAAATATTCGTATATTCAGTAGCATACCAGGAATTTGACCATCATGCATTTCATTGATTCACTAGAAATACCAAGTATTTGAAAGAAATGAGAATGTCAAATTTTCATTTATGAACGACATAGTTAAAATGAAATCTAATTATAGCTTTTAAAGGAAATTAAGAAGTCCCAACTTATTATTTAAACAAATACAAACTCTGGAAAACTAATCTCAATCAAAACAAGGAAATAGAAATTTCGAAACGCTTGAGGGCTTTAGGCCATAGCTCGGCTTATTAGCTCGTTTCTGCCAAAAAAAAGTGATTATTCTTCCAATTCCTATATAAATGACTCAAGGTACCCTGTTTTGGTTAACAATAATGGTATTCACAACAATGAGCAACGCTATATCAAGTACTAGAGTCCAAGTCAGAAATAGAGTCGTTGTTAACTATAAAAACTGCAAACGGAAATTGAAGAAAAAGCATATCATCTGGCGATCAAGATACATAGAAGGCAAGCTCTGAACAGATTGGGATGTTTATTTCCAATACACCAACAGTTCAAGTTTCGGAGTAATATACAGTTCGCAGAAACCAAAATACTGTGGCAATTTCCAGATATGCTACCACAAGGCTTCGAATTTATATTGTCATTCTACAAATCGAGGGCAACCATCCCCGCACCTTTAGATTGAAAACTTCATTAGAAAAAATACAAGTATATGAACAGACAACAACAATATAGACCTTGATCAAAACTTGAAACCTGGCCGCATTCGGCAAGAACTATTTTATCTTGGACTTTAAATTACTGCAAAAACAACTCATCGGAAAAGCTAGTAGCTCAACTTAGCAAGTCATCAAACCAACAGATGGAGACTTCCAATTAGTTTCAGTTCCTTCAACTCATCTCCTTTAGCATCAAATTTTGGGCCCTTTAGAAGTAACTGCCATGAGCTTCTGACCTCCACCATTTCGCCAAACACCACGCACAGGCAAACCTTCGGTAGCATTATTATGCTCATCAGTGGCTGCCTTCTGATTTGAGTCGGAATCTGAATCTGGATCCATATTTTTAAGATCCAAGAATGCTTCGACAGAGCCATCACCTAGGCGGATTCGGTGAAACTTTGAGGTTTTTTTCTGTTGTTTACCTTTTCCATTGCCGTTTCCTGAATTTCGATTGGACGCACCACCCGCTGACGAAGAGTCATTCTGACTTTTCAGCTTTATGGATTCATTTGGTCCACTCAATTCAGCTCGTGACTTGTCAACCACCACTTTTGATTTGCCTTTTGGAGCTCGATACCCATCCTTAGATAACACTTCCACATCTTCTTCTGAAGGCTTGTGGCTGAACTGTAGTTCGTTTACAGTGCTAACAACGTCATCTGCTAAGATATTTTTTGAAATGAAATTTCCAGAATCTAAAGCTTTGCCTTTACCTTTCTTAGATTTATTACC